GATGAGGACAGCCCGTCGGGGCCGGAAGCCCTATACCTTTTGAGATAGCTTATTTCTCGGGTAACCTCTATTTCAGATGGAGGACTGATGTCAACTGGCAGTATTTGGACAGTTGAATCGGGTGTAGGGAGGTCTCGTGCTGACGAGGGCCAGCTGAACTGAGCCTTAAAATGTTCTGCCCATCGATCTAGACGGCGTTGCTGAATATGGATCAGTGTGCCGTCGGACTCCTTAATTACCTCACTTACGCCTGCTTTCCTTTGATCTGTACTCCTAATTAATCGGAAAAGATTGCGATTGTTACCGATAGCCGCAGCTTTCTCCATCTCTCTACACTTTCCTACCCACCACTTCTCGCGGTCATTCCTCAGACCTTTGATGAGCTGGCGTTTAAGGGATTTGCGCGCTTTATCGTAGTTTGAATCCGAAGGAATGGTTTTGCGAGCGTTCATCAGGGCACCAGAAGACGGGGAGACCCATCGTTTTTTATTTGATCGTGAGTCAGGATTTGCTGTTGTTTCGATTGACATTTTGATCGCTTCCTTGATTACCGTCCAGTGCTCACTGAGTCCTCCCGTTGATGGTTGTGCTGAGAGACGATCTGACAGTTCCGCTTCGAAGGCCGATTTGCAACTATTGCTGACATTGTATCTTGGGCATCCGTTTTTGGTGGCTTTTCTACGTTTATTTACTAGGTGTAGAGAGAATCTCGCTCGTAGCAGAGCATGGTCCGTGTCCACGGTTGTTGACCAGTAGGAGCAGCATTCTTCAATGGATCCTCGCCAGCGGTGGCTGATGGCAATGTGATCGATTTGAGTCCAGCGCTGTGAAGCCGTTGGCGGTCTCTATGAAGGACGGCGGCGTTTTTTGTGCGAGAAGTTCGTGCTTGACAGAAACAGTCCGTCGTCAGCACAAAGTTGGAATAAGCGTTCTCCGTTGTCAGTCATGTTGGCTGGGATTGCATGTGAACCTCCAAGTTGCCTCTCTGATTCGTCCAAGGATCCCACTTAAGCATTGAAGTCTCCAGCGATCACCACGCTGTCCGTTGACCGAGCACTTTGGAGCAGTTGAGAGAGGTCCTTGTAGAATTCATCCTTCATTTCTGGTGAACTGCAATCTGTCGGTGTAAGCGCGGATACGACGAATAAACATCGACGTTTCGTTCTGTAGGTGTTGACTAGTATTGAACTAATCAGACGTACGGTCCAAAGTCGGCTGCTAACCAGGATCCAATCGAGAAGTGAACGCTCGGCCTTGACATTCAGCGCAATCCCAACAGCAGCAACACCGCAAGCTCNGGAGGTCGAATCGCTTGCCACAGGGAAAGTGAAGCGCGGGGATGAGGTTGCATCTGGAGAACGCAAGGAGATGATCGAAATAGGGTCTTGTATGCGTGTTTCGGAGACACAGCATACATCCAAATGGAAGGTTTCAAGGGTTCTAGCTACGGCAGCTTGTTGACCAATCTGATACTGTGCGGACATTAAATGCGGCTAAGTGGAAAGGAGATTTTGGTTTTTGATAGCATCTGCGTGGTTGGCTTCATTAGTTGAACACTGAAAGGTATCCGATGGGTGGCGCAAACAGGAAATAGAGAGTTGAGAAAGACGGTTATCCAAGTGGGTACCTAAGACTTTTGGGCACGGCATAATTTGCGGTTGCCCTAACGGACGAAGGGGTTTTTCGTTAGGAACCCTAGACGGACCCTTCGACTCGAAATTCTGACCCACAAGGCAGTT